CCCGAGTATTAACAGCATACAAACCTTAATCTTGAACGGAGATTCTGTATTATCAACTCTAATATGCGGCATATTATGGGTGATAATGCACCTGTTAATACTGATGGTTGAAGAAAACTTTTTCTTTCTTTTTTTTATAGGATATTTTTCAACATACATGACAGGCATATTCTTGTCTAGAAAATAGGTAAATATAACACTGCATGGAGGTCAGTAACAATATTTGAATACTCTAATTCAGTGGCGTAACTTTAGGTTTAACATTGGAGGGTTACGGTCTCTGGGAGTTTTGTTTGTGAGCTACACAAAGTCATGGTGCCATGTTTTGCAAATATAATCAGTTTTTTTGTTTATTGTTTTTTTTACTGATAGTTGCGTTTCGTGAAGCAGGCAGTGGGAAAGTACGGTATACAAACAAATCAAATAGCTTTAAGATAAAGCAGGAAATCAGCTCATGCATTTTTTAGTCTTCTTTTATGATATGTGGGGCTAATTAGAAAACAACCAACAGAAGAATAAGGTCTGCCCGCTTTTTAAAGGTATAGTGGAGGATTTTCATGAATTTTCAAGAGCCGCCCTCTCCACTTTAAAAATGCACATGCACAACACCTATTAAACATGTGCGAGAGCGTGCACGAGCCAATTTCTCCTCATGCACGCTCTGTTTATAAGTTGATGTTTGCATCGCTTATACAAGCTTACTCTCAAAAAGAAGATTTGCGATTTTTCCACTACCGTATGTCAGTTTTACCCGGTAGTTAAGGCTCTCCTCATGTTTGTAAATTACCAACATGCTCACTGGGGACTTGGTCAAAGAACAGCAAACGGGGAAAGCTTGGTAAATGTATTGGACGGCATATTGTTGGCAGGAAGTGGGGTGGGTTAATTTATCAAAATATTAATGAAACATGTTGGCAAAGGAAAACTAAGTAAATAAACCAATCATTTATGCAAGATTATTTTAGAAATATATATCAATATAATTATAGAATTAGGACTTTCTGAGCTATAACAGGTAAATCACTATTTCTTCATCAGGGCTTATTTGACATGCTAGTATGTTTTAGTTCAATTTAAACGGAAATTGCTAACTGATTATCTTTAGTATAGCATGATTATCAATTTAGGGCTGCTTTTGACAGCGACTGATGAAACGCGTCGCCTGCGCTGCCGTACGGCACACTTGTCACTTTTACAGCTGCATCACCGCTTTTACAATCCAGATGCCCCATGTTAGAAACACAATCATACAGCGACACACCGGTTCAAGAAGCCGTATCTATTTTCAGAGGCAGTCAGGTTGTGAGACGAATCGATGATTAAAGCATACCACTGAATGCTAACCATTGACCTCTGTGGCCTCCCTGAGAAAAGATAGACCGCCAGACATGAGCAGTGTGTGAACTATCTGATCCGCCATAAAATGCTTGACCTGAGGGAGACCCCGCAAAACAGCTGAGGTCTGAAACTAGCCAGAGAAACTTTGAACAGAGCCGTGGGCTTATCATTAGCCTTAGCCAACTCCTGCTTGTTGAGGTTGTTAGTTTTTCTTTCTTACTTTAGGTGAAATTGGAGGTGCTAAAGTTACCAGTCCGGGAAATGCATTAAATATTTTGCTGACTAAAAATCTAAAACGTTTCCAATCATAAAATAAATGTTAGAAGGCATTCTTATAAAGGGAATTAAAGCTATTTCTATCAATGTTTTCAAGGTAAAGGCATTTAAAACTGATACAAACTGTAAAAATGTGTTGCCCTAAATTTCCTAAATTGGCAAAAATTAACAAAATATCACCTGTAATTATTTAATCTGATTAAACATTTCCATATTTATTTAAGTGTGTGTTTAAAACCTGACATTAAGACCTGAGGTTGAAAACATCAGTGACATAAAGTTTATTTTTACCAGTGATGGGTCGTCCAAAACAGTTCCCTGAAATCAGTGACGTCTAATGACCTTAATCTTGACCTTTTAAAGCTGAAGGTATATAAAAGTGAACTTTATATAGGAGTGACATCATCAGGAAGTCAGCTGGCGCTTCGCTCTAAACTCATTTTATATGTGATTAATCTATTGCCTGCTAAATACCTGACGAAAATCACAGCTAACAGTTATAAATGTTGATTTATTTGTTCCTAAAGAATAAATGGAAACCAGTGAGTAACTTTGAACATTTTCTGTCTTGATTCTGCTTGTATTTGTATTCCCTGTATTTTAGAAACTATCATGCTTTTTTTCCCCGACAGGACCTGTATTAAGAGATCCTTTTGCCAGTGAAAGCTTGATAATGCAAATGAGAGGCAAGTTAATAAAATAGCTAAACTAGGTGTAACCATTTTTCTTTCCTGTAAAGCACTTTGGTGCAGTTTTATACCTGTTTTTAAAGTGCTATATAAATAAATTTGNTGTATTAAGAGATCCTTTTGCCAGTGAAAGCTTGATAATGCAAATGAGATGCAAGTTAATAAAATAGCTAAACTAGTTTAGTTCACTCATTTCAACTGCTACTGTTCTGTATTTTGTATAAATGTTTAGCAACTTAGGAATACACTTGATGCCTTATGTTTAAAACTGGCAACTTGCAATATCATGGTGTGCAAACATTTGTTGATTTTAATGCTTGAGTGCAACAGTTGGTAAGATATAATAGTCAAGTATGTACATGTACTATCTATGTACATCTATGTATATGGAAGAGAATCAAGGCCACTGGGGAAAAAAAAAAAAAAGTTAACTGAATTTTAAATATGATTTCAGTTTAAAATGGGAAAAAAGTCAGAATTCTGACTCACGCTCTAATAATCAACTATTACTGACAGTTCCTTGGACTTGACTTAAGAGGAAAGGAGATCGGGCCTTTTCTGTTGTTGCTCCAATTCTGTGGAACTATTTACTTCTTCAGATTAAATCCGCCCACTGAATGGATCATTTTAAATCGCTTCTTAAAACTTATTTTTATTCTTTGGCTTTTAATTGAAGCAGTGTTTTTACATTCTGTTTTGCTAATTGATGTTGTTATCTTTCCTGTAAAGCACTTTGGTGCAGTTTTATACCCGTTTTTAAAGTGCTATATAAATAAATTTGACATTGACATTGACTTTAATCTCAGAATTGTGCCTTTTTTCTAAGAATTCTGATTTTTTTTCTGAGAATTCTGACTTTAATCTCAGAATTCTAGACTTTTTTTCCTCAGAATTTTGCATCTTAATGCAGATGAGCACCATGAAGGAAGAGATGTGGAAGCACTTAGCTTCACTGACAAAGATGTGAATTTTTTGGGAGGGCCAGTAACACATTGGTGGAAAATGAGGGAATTAGGTGACTTTTTACGTGTCTTAGGGGTCCCCGGTGATGCTATTTCTTTAATGGAAGAGCAAAAGTGTTTAAAACAAGAGAGCTAGTTTCATCTCTAAAATNACCCCGGTGATGCTATTTCTTTAATGGAAAAGCAAAAAGTGTTTAAAACAAGAGAGCTAGTTTCATCTCTAAAATAGACATGGCTAGGGCTTGAAGCTAACATGTTTGTTAGCTGTCAGAATTCGGCCAGAATTCCAAGATTAAAGTCAGAATTATGACTTTTTTTCTCATATTATATGGAAATAAAATGTAAAAATCAGTTAACTTTTTTTTTTTTTTTTTTCAGTCGCCCTAATCGTCTTCCGTACAATCATGTTTGTGACTGTCAAATTTAAAAAAATACTTTCTAAAAAAGCCGAAGGTCATGCAGCGCTAATAATCCATGCAGCTCTTTCTAGAAAAATCTCATAGTACTGAAAAAAGTAGGGTTGCTTTATTCTTTTGAGCAAAGCACTTGCTTAAAAATAACTGATTTAATGACTCTGTAAAATCCCCTATATTTTAGTATACCAGCTTTCTCAATTATTGGGATTCGATTTTCTACTTATAGGGACAAAAATGAAGGAAAAGAAGTGAGTTTGTAAAGAGTATTTCATGAGCTATTTCTCAAATCATTTTACCATCTTGTGCAAATCCAAAAATGAGAGCAATGAAAGCAGGAGAGCTGAGTTTTCTTCCTCCCTTTGGGGAAAAGACTTTGAAGCTCAGAGATCCATCAGTTTGGTGCATCCATCACCAACACTTCCATAATGACTCGCTGCATTAGGCAAAAATGTTTTTATATAGGCCTACATCTTTATTCCTTAATGTTTTTACTCTTGTCATTCTATTAGAAAAACGTTAAAACAGGTCTATGCTGAACGCTTGGTAACGCTTCAGGTGGCTCTGAGCCCGACCCGCTTTCTGTATGATGGGAGGAAAGACAGGTGACCCAGCAGCCTGTGAAGTCTGCAGTGCAAAAACTTCAGAGAGATGTGACTAGTTCCATCCGCTGATAAAGGGGAGGGAGATGGAGGGAAATGGAGAGAGGAGGGGATGAAGGGCAGAGACAGCTGTGGCTCTGTAGATTAGCACTGAAAACTGTGGCCTTTTTTTCTGTGCTCAGCTTTTGAACTGTATTTTCGCCTGCTGGAGTCCATGATTGGCTGAGAAGGCTGGTCGATAAGAGACTGGGCCAATTTTTAACCCACCAAAATATTTAGCCTCATTTCGACTTTTATAAAAGTGAACAGAAGCCTGCAGCACTGGAACTGTATTTAAACACCCCCATCATTAAGCAGACGTAGTTATTAGTGTTTTATTATACAGACAACAATATGTTTGATGGAGACACTGCCAAAAGCTGTAGGTGTCTGTGTGTCTTTCTGCAGTGCAGAGTTTTGATGCATGAAGTCAGAAAAATGCTGCCAAGTTTTACTCTGAGCCTTTTCTCCTCCACGCTGTAAAATGTGATGTAAAAAGGTATGACGAATCCTGTGATCATCTAAACATGTCTAAACCAATGATGTGTTTGTGTAGATGAATGGGAGGGCTAACTGCACAGAGGGCGTTTACACACAATTATAAAACATGCAGCGCTTCAGTCCTGAAAGACACGCAGACATTTTCCAGTTGTTTTTGTTTTTGAGACCAAAGTGACTCACTCCATCATGGATGCAGGTATGGAGCAGCAGTCCTGGATCGCCGTCAGTGGAGAGGTGAGGTGGGCGGTGTAGGACGCCTCCACCACCTGTTTGTTTCTGTTTACCACATCCAGGTAACGGTTAAACTTTTCCCGAATCTTCTTGGCCAGCTGCATAAAGGAAACAACAACAAATGTCAATGCAGTAGTTAGAAAAGGGAAATAATTATACTTCTAAGCAAGCTATCTGCATTGGTCTCCACTTTATGCTAATATAAAGAGGTCATATTGATGGACTTACTAGAGATGATTTTACATTTGCATTTCTTATGCTCTTTTTGCCACCCAACCTTTTCACTGCCTCGAGGTTTAAATGTAAACAGAACCACGTTACCTTTAGGTATAATTTTAATATACATCATTATAGCTTTGGTTCAGCAAAGAAAACATTTCTGGGGCCTTAAAAGTATATTTTTATGAAGAAAAAAAACCTAAAACAGTTTCTTTCTTCTTTTAAATAACCAACAGGCAGTGGATTAGCAGGTATATGGAGTAACTTCTGTTCCATTATTTCAAGCAATAATTAACTTTAAGTTGATTCAAGTGAAATTAGAGGCAGAGGGGGTATAAAAAACATAGAATTTACATTAATCAATGTCAGTTATCTGGCTGTTTATACCAACAGGTTTATTTGGTGGAGGGTTTATGTTTCTAGTAAATTTAGTTAGTTTGGAAATTGGTGTTTGGTTTGGTTGATTTGGTTAACTACCGGTAGTCTAATTTGTGTTTATTTGGTTGATTCATTTATTGTTGTTTGTCAAATGTCTGAAATAAATTCCTATTCATTCATTCATTCATTCATTCATTCATTCATTCATTCATTCATTCATTCATTCATTCATTCATTCATGCATTCATTTATTCAAGCAAAGAACACATTTTGTAAATGGAAATACAAAAAGGAAACCAGAAATGAAACTTTGAAACACTTTTTATTAAAAAAAAAGGGTTTTGTAATAAACTTTGCTGTTTTCTAAGATTTTTTTCAAATAATTATATTTATTCTAGTTTTATTTCATATTTTGTTTCTAATTTTAGTTTGTTCAATATTTTATTCTACTGATTTTAATATTTACATTTTTTTAGATTGAGTTTTAAAAATAGCAACCTTTTCAAATTGCATTTGACAGATCTCATTCTCTTCAAATGAATGCTCACTCTTAAGATGCACATTAAGAGATAAAAATGTTGCTAACGTCCTGCTGACCAATGGAAATGCATTTTCATTCCTGAATCCAGAGGAAAGCCTGCAATCAGAAATGAAGAGAAAGAGATGTGCAAAACAAAATCTAAAAGGAATGCAATGTAAAAAAAATAATGAAATTAAATCAAATATAGATGCAGTTTTGTATATAAAAAAATTATGAATCAATAATTTGCAGGAAGAAAATATGAGAAAACAGCAAGTTAAAAACTTTTTTTTTTGTATTAAGTATATCAAAGTTTCATTTCTGAATTGCATTATTTACACATTTTAATTTACAAAACCTTTTCTCTTTTTGCTTGCAAAAATAATACAACAAAATCCAACCCATATATGAGCTGTTTAAACCTGGATAGAAGTATTCTGCCATAATAAGAGATGAATTAAAACGTCGGTTGTGATATAGCAAACATTCCCTTTACGAAATAAATGTTTTCAGTTGAAGATGTTGAAATTTTGTCCCATATGCTTCCCGTGTGTTGTTTTGTCTTCAAAGCCGAATCTCTCTACAACATGGAAGCCAGAAATCAAAGGGTTGCTTAAACATCCATGTGCATAAACATTACTAGTCAGCTGAGTAAGCAGAGGGAAAGTCATCATGGATAAAAACAGAAACATGATGGATGATAAACTTCAACAATGCGAACTTATCTCTATGGTTCACAGTAATTTAGATACAAATAAGAAAATCCACCCTGAAAAACAAAAGTAACCCGATCTAGATCTGATTCAAATATACAACCTCCAACCATCTTGCATGTGCTTATGTAAGCAATAGACTACCAACTAATAATCTTTCATGTTTTCTCATGGACAAAACATAAATTAAAAAAATAAGGATTTTGCTAAATGGCTGGTGAAATCAAATTGAAAAAAAAGAAGCAGACTAAAGAAAACTTCCCAATGACTACTAGTTTGACTTGGATGCATAAATGCACACCTCATTGTTTAACTGTCTGAAGGAATCTGTGACGCTGTTGAAACCAATTACTTCAGAAGACAAAAAATTTCTTTAACTATATTAAAGACAAAACAAAGTTTATGTATGATTTAGAAATTATTTAATGATTACGAAAAGAAAGACGAAGTAGAGAAGCAAAAGATGAGAGAGCTACTTATTCCAGAGAAAATTGCACAAAACATTTAATAATACAGATTTCGATGCAAAAAAAGGTCCTATTTGTTAACATGAGGCATTAGAGGAAAAATCCCCAAGACACTGCGGTTTCCACAAGCACAGAATCATCTAATAAACCTTTCTGAGGACAGATGAAAGCTTTATTCCGGAGTAACTGGACCCTCTTTGTTCACGTCCCATAATTACTGCTGCTTGTAAAAAAAGTCTGTGACTGAAGCCAGGAAGAGGAAAAAAACGGAGACCCCCGGCCCACTGACCGCTAGTACACCTAATCAGCCAGCCGCTATTCTTATTTGGGGTCTAATAGGGGCCTGAGGCGCAGCCTGCAATTACTGGCGCTCCACCTCTAGGAACCCAGACAGCATGACAACTTTGACTCCTCTGTACATGGAAATGTAGGCTTCATGGTGATTAGCTAATGTGATCTGTGCTTTGAATATGGATCAATTAGAGTTCAGCCGAGGAGGGTGTTTGTGGCTGTGGGGGTGGGCAGGGTAAGAACCCCAGAAGGCTCAGCTCAAGTTGACTTAAATGAAACGAAAACGCTCTTTGTGGTTAAAGTTAAAGCATAGATTCCAGAATGTTATGGTAGAGCCAAAAACGATCCGTTTTACCAAACTCCCCAGAACACTGAGCTCTGCTCTCATGTAGAACGGTGGGACGTGATCCGCCCCAAGCGGTTACTGGATAGGCTGTTCTGCTAGTCTGCTTTCTTCGACAGACATAAAGAAAACATGGGTAGATAGCACTGCCGCCTTGCAGCAAGAAGGTTCTGGGTTCGATTCCCGGGCCCAGGGTCTTTCTGCATGGAGTTTGCATGTTCTCCCTGAGCATGCATGGGTTCTCTCTGGGTACTCTGGCTTCCTCCCACAGACCGAAAAACATGACTGTTAGGTTAATTGGCTTCTCTAAATTCTCCTTAGGTGTGAGTGTGTGTGAATTGTTGTCTCTGTGTTGCCCTGCGATGGACTGGCGACCTGTCCAGGGTGTACCCCCCCTCTCGCCCATAGACAGCTGGAGATAGGCACCAGCACCCGTCGTGACCCCACTTGGGGAAAAGTGTGTCAGAAAATGGATGGATGGATGGAGACAATTTATACCTTTTTGCTTAAAACATACTTGTGTTAATCTTTATAAGCTAAAATGAAACTAGTTTTTTCCCTAAATGTTAGAGATGCACCAATCTGGTACCACGATGGTATATTGGCTTAGATATTTTTTATTTAGCTGACTTTATATAGGAGATCCAAGCCAGTGCACTTTATATGGAGCTATTATTTATTTTTGCTGCTTATTTGTTAATAAATTATATAAAGTACATTTATATCTGTGTTAATTTGTTCCCTTTTTGTAAACAAAGTTTATGTCAAAGACAAGGCCTTCACTCACAGGGCAAGATAGTGTTCATCCACTCAACAGTTGAACCAGATTGGTATCAGATATTGGCCAATTTGTTCAGCCTAGGTATCTGTATTGGATACCCAGTGGGGAGGATTGTGAAAAGGGTGTGGAAAAACAAATGATATTAATATTCACAATGGGCTTATATTGTAGTGCTCATTTTGATCAATTAATCTGAAAGATTTTAATGTGTAAAAAAAAAAAAATCACTGCAATTTATTACTGGAATTGCGGGAGGCAGAAACCATTGTATTCTGTTCCTTATACAACCGTTAATCTGACATTTATGTCTTAAGTGTAGCCTGCTGGGAAAAAAAGGGGGTTAAGAAGGAGGTTCTTATGTATATTCTTAAATATATTTGAAAAACTCTAAATAACGATTAAACAATTATTTCAAGACAAGTTCAGAACAATTAAAAATACCAGGTGATTATTTATTTAAATAGATGTTGAACTGATAGGTTTTGTTAGAATATCTATTTGGCTTTTTATTATTCATGATTAATGTTTTTTTCTAATTACCAGTACTCTTTTTTTGCCTTAGTAAATGCCTGTTCTTGAGGCCATCTCTCTCTAGTTTAATTTATCAAGTCATAAATGGAAGCCAGTATCACTGAAACAAAGTTAGCTATGTCTCAGCTAATATTGATTTAAATACATTAAATATTAGGGGTGAGTATTGGCATGGGTTTTGCGACATGAAACGTGTCACGATACTTGGGTCACAATACCATTTCACAATATTGCAATATCTCTATAAATTGCAATATTTTTCCAGGCTATCAAATTAAAAGAAAAGATACAAAAGGCAGCATGTTCCCTAGAAGATATTAATCATTTAGTTATTTTGGCATCCATGCTGTTTTGGGGTTTGAGTAAGTCCACGTCTCCACTGTGACAGCCTCACATATAGATATTGTGCTGCACCGCACAGCAACAGGCTCCACAGCTCTATCTGCCAGAGCCGTGGTGCAGAGGGAGCCCATTTTCCCTCATTGTTTCAGGTAAAAATGTATTTTTTTTGTTTTTTAAATCAACATTAGGGAACTGAAAGATCTAGATTATATTGCAGAGCTGAAAATCCCTATTTATCGATTCCGATTTTTTCCCCATATCCCTATTAAATATAGTGCATTTTAAAAATAAAATCTTTAAAAAACAAGAATTTGGTCACACTGTAACCTAAAATATAAAATGGGGATTATCAATTTCATTTATTTTCAACTTATTACGAATATGTGTAATAAGAATATTGTCCATATAAAATCAGGAAAATTATATCATTACAATCAATTATATCTTTTTGTTGTAAATTAGTAATTTCATATGCCCCTCAGGTTAAACATTGCACTCAAATTGTGCTAAATTAGAACAAATCCTTGAACATACAGATTTTTAACAAACATTTGACTTATGGCAAAAGGATAATTCAATCTAATGAATCCTTTTTTACAGCAAAAACTTGGTCAAACCAGGATGTCCATGTATGAACACCTGCCTCAGAGACGAAGTTGAAGTTGTGTTCACAGAACACCCAGAAGTACGCCGTTTATTGACAATTATACAACCATAAAAATCCAAATAAATTAAAGTTTCTCTTACATAACTTCTAGGGCAATTTTAAAAAAATCATTCTATTTTCTCAATGCAAATAAACCATCTCAAATTCAAAGATAACCACTTTGACAACAAATGCTAAAGAGTAGAACAATGAGAAACAGTCAGCCACAGAGAGGGGGAGTCTGCGTCGTTACACGGAGACAGATGTCTGCACAGCAGTCTGAATAATTAATTTCCAACAGGAGAGTCTCGCAGAAGATGCCGATGGCACCTCTTTGTGGCTCCTTGTCCTTTTTTTGTTACTTCTCCCATCTCAACTGTGCCTCTGCAGAAACCCTCCCTAATTGAGCCCGGCCTTGGCTCAGGGACACATCCCCTCTGCCTACAGCGCACCAGCGAGCCAACTATGTCAGAGCTATAATCTGAAGTAGTCAGAGCCAACCTCAGGAGGGTTACGCTGAGAATTTATGGGACCTATTTAGGCTGGCCACTGAAATAAATACTCCAACTGTGGAGTTGAAGCCACTTTTAGAGAAGATACTTATTCAAACCATAAACGTTAATGCTCCAAATTAGATTTCAGCTTGCTGAACAATCCAAAAATTCTTAAAATCTATATCTTTAAAACCAAATTTAGCTGCCTGTGAAACATTAAACACCAGCAAAGGTGTGAAACACTGTACCCTGCTCACACATACACACCTCCATGCGCTGACACAGACGGATACAAACAGAGAAATGCAAACAATCGTCAACCTGTCTGTTCTTGCTGGTGGCTGTTTACCACTGTGGTGTATATTGTCACTTTTCCAAGATCCTCTGACGCACTAGAGCAAACACAAACACACACTTTTACACACCGCGCCTGCTCTCAATTAGGTTTGATTTGACACAGGGTGCCAGAAATTCCAAGCAGATTTCTTTTTCCACTATAAAAACCAAAATGAGGCACAGAAATTTGACATTTGCATTAAAGGCAGGCGAGTTAAGAAAAGTGTTTCATTTTAGCAACAGCTCATTATTCTGTTTAACCCTTGGTCCAAAGCTTTGAGGGGGATGTATAGCCAGAGAGGGAGGAGGAAAAATAAATCAATAAGACACCAAACTTCAAAGCTACAGAGACAGCAGACATAGAATTTTCATAAACCCCCTGATGTCTGTGCTCGTGCTGCTAAAGCGAACACAATGCCAGACCACAGACAGACATCCACAATGCTACATGCATGCACAGACAGGCAGGACAAGCACACACATACACAGCACTTTGTTACCAACCTGCTGAACTTCTGTCTCTCCGTTTGACGTCTTCTCCGTGTAAACAAAGGAGTTGAAAATCCTCTGCAGAGAAAAAGAGAAAAAGAGAAAGATTATACCATAAGAACCAGAATCCAGCATTTATATATTCTGATTATGTTGTTGCATCTAATTTAAATTCACAATAAAGGGTATGTGTTGGGGCTTAATATTAGTGAAGCATCTCCCCATCTTTGTGCTGATAATTGTTAATTGTCATGTTACTATTAGTACTCATATTATTACTACTTGATAGAATTTGTGGACCACTATTGGAGGGCCTGGAAAACTGGGCTGGCATTTCTGATACAGTACTTGAATGGTTTTAATCCTACTTGAAGGACGGGGGCTTTTTGTGTCAGTAGATAAAATTACATCAAAGACCAAAATCACACGCGAGGTTCCTCAAGGGCTCATCTTGGGGCCCTCTAATTAAATATCCACAAGCTCCTTGCTATCTCAGATTTCAAAAAAGTTAAAAAGAAAAAACATGGTAAGCTACCATAACTATGCAGATGACACACAGCCAGACTCGGACTGGTAATCTTTTAAGGAGGGCCGCCCCTAACTTTAGCGTGCAAGGGCCCAAACGCTTAGTCTCCGGCCGAAGCACCTTCGTGCGACAGCAAATTACACAAGGAGCTAGAGAAGTAATCCAGTGTTTACTACCTACATGATGCATGCAGTATATAAAGCCCTTCCTTGTGACGGTTGGCATATGGTGTAATTTTCAATTTCTTCAAACTTTGCAACAAACTAAATTATAATAAAACAAAAAAATTACGATGTTCCTCTTATAATTGACGAATTTATGTTTGAATATTTTGCAAAAATATGTTGTGTGCATGATAATGGAAAAATGCCAGGGCCGAAAATCGTTCCCAGTCCGAGCCTGATCACAGCCGTATATTAGTTGACCATGAACCTAATGAAATGCTGGTTAAATGCATGGAACAAGGGATGTGCCAAAACAAAAACCCAATCAAAAAAACAAACTAATCAGAGCTGAAAGAAAAAAAAAATGGACAAACTGAGGAGTAATCAAAAGTTGATTACAGCTTCAATTACTTTAGCTAGAATCCATTGATCGGGCCTGAAGTAATAAGACTCTGACCTTGTAATGCCCTCAAAGCACAATAAACCACAAACGTAATACAAATATGCAGTTTTTGTTACTCCGTAATACTCCGGCAAACATAATACATTTTTCACATAAGTAATAGCCGCTGACTATTAAAAACATAAGCAATTTCCCACAAACTTAATTACATTTGCAAAGATTTATTGCATTTATGGGAACACATATAATTTTTTTCAAATTGTCATTGTGCTTTTGTTTGACTGTCATTGCCTAATGATGTTCCTTCCTTCACTGCTCAGTGCTTCCCCATTCTAAGTGAGCAAGAAAATGAAATCCAACATAAACTATAAACCAATGATCAATAAAAACTTTTCCGTAGGCCCACCACTTTGAGTCGGACTGAGTCTGCATACCCTTCATTCGTTTTCAATTTAAAACCAACCTTGAATTTCTTTAAATACAGAAAAACAGAAAACAGTTCATTTTATTGTTTTTTTTAATCACCATACTTGGTTAAATATATTAAAAAACAAACAAATAGGGAACACACTTATTTAATAAAAAAAAAATTTCCGGCTCTTCTAGCAGCTAAACCTGCTGGACGCTGGTAGGGCTACAACAAACAATTATTTTGCAAATCTATCAATCAGCTGATTCTTTTTTCGATTAATCTATTATTAATCGGATAGTCAAAGGTTCCTTAAAGAAGACTTTTTACAGAATTAAACCAAGTGAAACTAAATTTTTTTCACTTGAGGAGTTCTGGGTAGAGCATATTGTCAGATTAAAAAGTCCATTTATCTTAAATGCAAAATATTTTACAATTTTGGCATAGTTACTGTTCAAAGTGGGTTGCTCTGTCAGCTAAAGGCATGTTTTAGAGTCTCTATACTCCCGTTAACAAAGCATTGATTGCTAAATTAGTTGATGATTATTCCAATAATCGATTAATCAAGACTTGTTTAATTATTTCAGCCCTAGACACTGAAAAAACAAAAACAAAACAAGATCAGCTCTCCTTTTACAAGCTACTTTTTAAACCTAGAATTGAAAAAAAAAATCACTATGAAGTCAGTTTTATAATAAAAAACATTTAGAAATGTAAGAGTTGCATTTGGATAAATCATCTATGTTTAATAAAATAAGTGTCCTTAAAAGAAGTTCTGCAAATGTCCTCATTCAGCACATCAAAGAGCGCTACAGATGGATAAATAATCCAACAGGAAGAAAAACATGTGGCGGCCCAAATTATATATTAGCCTTGGCTTCATAACAATGAAACTCACCAATGTGCATCAGCCCTGCTTTCCAACATTGCCACAACTAAAGACGCACCTGCCTAAAAATGACATGTGTCGTGAATTGGCGCTATATAAATAAACTGAATTTGAAACTGAAATTGAAAATTTAATTATTCAGCAAGGAGGTTTGATTTGATCGGCACAAGTAAGAAAGAATATCCCTCATTCAGAAATTCAAATCTTATTAGTTTTTTCCATTTTGCTGGGAAGCCAGAGCATCGTTTTATATCCAAAGATTTTTTTTTAATTATGTTTTACAAATGCATTTATACATTTGCGGGAAGTTATACATTTTCATACGAACTTAGTAAATCTCTGCAAACTAAGTAGTTATTAAATTAGTTGGAAATCACTTTTGTTTCCAGTAGGCTTTAGCTATTACATTAGTGGGAAATGTATGTTTGTGTGATTATATTAAAAGCTGCATATTTCAGTTATGTTTGTGGTTTAATACGCTTACAGGCATTAAAGACCTGAACCTCCATAAGTACAAAATGACAAAATTTCTACACAGCACACTAAGAATACAATGCAGGAAAACATCTTGCTAAAGTCACTGCAGCTTGAAGTGGTTTTACAAACTACTGAAATGTACTCCAACTTCATATTTTTATGTGGCTGTAATGTGCAATTTAAACCTTTTCTCAATTTACACATTTGAATATGCTAAAAGACTAGCCTGGCCAGGCTGCCAGACGTAAACAGTCTGGCAGCAGTTAGAGTCCAATTTCAGAGGCAGGACTAACGGAGTGAGCAGAAACAGGTTTGAACCAATCAGATATATACAGATGTGTCACAAAAACACCTTTTTGAAGAATTGAAGAGCTCTTAACCCCTTAAAACCCACCAGGTCGCTGGCAACCCGGTTGACCTTAAGTGGGGGTAATAATTCAGAATGCATAACATTCCACCGGTAAAATTTTTACCAGCAGGTGGCGCCATTGTGCGCAGCTCCAAGTTGACACCAAAAGTTCCAAAACCCACAGCTCTGGAACTGTTATAGCTAGAGGTCTGAAATCTTCTGCATTTGTGGTTGACATGATGTAGAACAAATAATACAATAAAACCTGCTCTTTTCTCAAGAATGTCTTTATTACTGCTGTTTAAAAGAGACCTGTCATTTCCGAGAATAAAAAAAAAAACTGAATCATGTTTGAACTGATGCAGGTTGGTCTGTGTTCTAGTCACCCAATTTTAATTTATATATTAGGAAACTAGAGAATGTTAGCTTTCAGATAATGTATTGCACATGTAATTTGGGCATACAGTTCCTAAGTTATTAGCTTTTCCATTTGGGTATGCAAAATAGGCGAAGATTACCCAAAATGAGGTGGATGTTAAGAGGTTATTAAAGCAGCTATTTGTTAAGTTTTTTAAGTTATATGTTGCTCATTCTGTACAAAATAGAGAAATCATAAAACGCTGTTCTGTTGCAAATGTAATCTTGACTTTTATGGTTACAGAAAAGTGCTGCCACATTATGGGAAACTCTGGTGTAAAGCATAAAACTCCCATCTCTCACGCTGTGATTGGCCGAGTCTGAGCCTTCACAGACTGACCAGCTGTGAATTAAAAACAAGGTGTAAGTCAGTCTGGCTGTTATACAAAAAAAAAAAAATATAGAATAAACTTACAAAACAAATGTCATAGAATACATTTGTTTTTGCAGATATTCAATAATAACAGTAACAAAAGATCAACAATAACCCTAAATAAATGGTATAACCCCCACCACCACTCTGGGAAAACAATTTTCCTTTGCTTTAGTTTACTGCTTAACATGGAAAATGTGTCACCCGAGTGCCGTTTAGCTTCATGTTTTCTTTAGCCCAGCTTGCAGGGTGATGTTACATTTCCACATTTACCTTCCAGGCTGGGGAGTTTTAGAAGCCCCTGGTGTATACTAAGTGAGCAGGAAGCTAAGTGAGTAGGAGTGGTGCATGCAGACAGAGAGAAAATAAGTAGTGGTGTGATCTTACTACTCAGAAAGCCCCAGAGCTGTCTGATGAATGTGCACCTGCTAAGACACATAAACATACAATAACAAACATCCTTTCCTTCAAATGGTCTCTATAATGTGCAGCTAAGTACACATGGGTTTTCTCAAGCTTAGGCAGTAGTACTCTGTGGTAACAAACAGAGGAAAACTAATGTTTGTGTTTTGGCAGCAGGTAGGCAGGTGGTTCACTCTGGGATGTCCAATCAAACACAAATTGTCTGGTTTCTACACTGCAGCCATTTCCTGCTGTCTGTCCACACCTTCTGTATGCACACTCTACCACCCATCACCTTACCCAAAGCGCTCTTAAATCTAAACTCTTACGGATGTTTTTTGTTATCTTTATTTTTATTATACTAACAATAACCAAAAATAATAGGAAATCAAAAAATTATCTCTGCTTGCCTTCTTTTTTTCCAGCTTCTTGTTGTTTCATTTTGTAACAAACATAAAAATTAAGGCTGCAGCATGAGAAAACTACTGACACATGGAAAATGAAGGCAGTAGAAAGGACATTGTTATGGTAACACACATGCGCTCAAAACAAAGCAACCTGAGTTACAACAGCTTGAATACTGAACTGTCTTCGTAAACACTACATTTTATTTTTAACAAGTAAAAAAATATAGAGAGACGAAAACAATCTCCCAAACTTTCAGGATTG